GACTGGTGCCCAGAGAGACCTGTACCCAGGGAGACCGGTGCCCAGGGAGACCGGTGCCCAGGGAGACCGGTGCCCAGAGAGACTGGTGCCCAGAGAGACCTGTACCCAGGGAGACCGGTGCCCAGAGAGATCTGTACCCAGGGAGACCAGTGCCCATGGAGACTGGTGCCCAGGGAGACCTGTACCCAGGGAGACCGATGCCCAGAGAGATCTGTACCCATGGAGACCGGTGCCCAGGGAGACCGGTGCCCAGGGAGACCGGTGCCCATGGAGACCGGTGCCCAGGGAGACCAGTGCCCAGGGAGACCGGTGCCCATGGAGACTGGTGCCCAGGGAGACCTGTACCCAGGGAGACCGATGCCCAGAGAGATCTGTACCCATGGAGACCGGTGCCCAGGGAGACCGGTGCCCAGGGAGACCGGTGCCCATGGAGATCGGTGCCCAGGGAGACCAGTGCCCAGGGAGACCGGTGCCCATGGAGACTGGTGCCCAGGGAGACCTGTACCCAGGGAGACCGATGCCCAGAGAGATCTGTACCCATGGAGACCGGTGCCCAGGGAGACCGGTGCCCAGGGAGACCGGTGCCCAGAGAGACCGGTGCCCAGGGAGACCAGTGCCCATGGAGACTGGTGCCCAGGGAGACTGGTGCCCAGAGACACCGTTGCCCAGGGAGACCGGTGCCCGGGGAGACCTGTGCCCAGGGAGACCTGCGCCCATGGAGACCAGTGCCCAGGGATACTGGTGCCCGGGGAGATCTGTACCCAGAGAGACCGGTGCCCATGGAGACCGGTGCCCATGGAGACCTGTGCCCAGAGAGACCAGTGCCCATGGAGACTGGTGCCCGGGGAGACCGGTGCCCCCAGGAGACCGGTGCACAGGGAGACCTGTAGCCAGGGAGACCTGTTCCCAGGGAGACCAGTGCCCATGGAGACCAGTGCCCAGGGAGACTGGTGCCCGGGGAGACCTGTACCCAGGGAGACCGATGCCCAGAGAGATCTGTACCCATGGAGACCGGTGCCCAGGGAGACCGGTGCCCAGGGAGACCGGTGCCCATGGAGACCGGTGCCCAGGGAGACCAGTGCCCAGGGAGACCGGTGCCCATGGAGACTGGTGCCCAGGGAGACCTGTACCCAGGGAGACCGATGCCCAGAGAGATCTGTACCCATGGAGACCGGTGCCCAGGGAGACCGGTGCCCAGGGAGACCGGTGCCCATGGAGATCGGTGCCCAGGGAGACCAGTGCCCAGGGAGACCGGTGCCCATGGAGACTGGTGCCCAGGGAGACCTGTACCCAGGGAGACCGATGCCCAGAGAGATCTGTACCCATGGAGACCGGTGCCCAGGGAGACCGGTGCCCAGGGAGACCGGTGCCCAGGGAGACCGGTGCCCATGGAGACTGGTGCCCAGGGAGACCTGTACCCAGGGAGACCGATGCCCAGAGAGATCTGTACCCATGGAGACCGGTGCCCAGGGAGACCGGTGCCCAGGGAGACCGGTGCCCAGAGAGACCGGTGCCCAGGGAGACCAGTGCCCATGGAGACTGGTGCCCAGGGAGACTGGTGCCCAGAGACACCGTTGCCCAGGGAGACCGGTGCCCGGGGAGACCTGTGCCCAGGGAGACCTGCGCCCATGGAGACCAGTGCCCAGGGATACTGGTGCCCGGGGAGATCTGTACCCAGAGAGACCGGTGCCCATGGAGACCGGTGCCCATGGAGACCTGTGCCCAGAGAGACCAGTGCCCATGGAGACTGGTGCCCGGGGAGACCGGTGCCCCCAGGAGACCGGTGCACAGGGAGACCTGTAGCCAGGGAGACCTGTTCCCAGGGAGACCAGTGCCCATGGAGACCAGTGCCCAGGGAGACTGGTGCCCGGGGAGACCTGTACCCAGGGAGACCGATGCCCAGAGAGATCTGTACCCATGGAGACCGGTGCCCAGGGAGACCGGTGCCCAGGGAGACCGGTGCCCATGGAGACCGGTGCCCAGGGAGACCAGTGCCCAGGGAGACCGGTGCCCATGGAGACTGGTGCCCAGGGAGACCTGTACCCAGGGAGACCGATGCCCAGAGAGATCTGTACCCATGGAGACCGGTGCCCAGGGAGACCGGTGCCCAGGGAGACCGGTGCCCATGGAGATCGGTGCCCAGGGAGACCAGTGCCCAGGGAGACCGGTGCCCATGGAGACTGGTGCCCAGGGAGACCTGTACCCAGGGAGACCGATGCCCAGAGAGATCTGTACCCATGGAGACCGGTGCCCAGGGAGACCGGTGCCCAGGGAGACCGGTGCCCAGAGAGACCGGTGCCCAGGGAGACCAGTGCCCATGGAGACTGGTGCCCAGGGAGACTGGTGCCCAGAGACACCGTTGCCCAGGGAGACCGGTGCCCGGGGAGACCTGTGCCCAGGGAGACCTGCGCCCATGGAGACCAGTGCCCAGGGATACTGGTGCCCGGGGAGATCTGTACCCAGAGAGACCGGTGCCCATGGAGACCGGTGCCCATGGAGACCTGTGCCCAGAGAGACCAGTGCCCATGGAGACTGGTGCCCGGGGAGACCGGTGCCCCCAGGAGACCGGTGCACAGGGAGACCTGTAGCCAGGGAGACCTGTTCCCAGGGAGACCAGTGCCCATGGAGACCAGTGCCCAGGGAGACTGGTGCCCGGGGAGACCTGTACCCAGGGAGACCGATGCCCAGAGAGATCTGTACCCATGGAGACCGGTGCCCAGGGAGACCGGTGCCCAGGGAGACCGGTGCCCAGAAAGACCTGTGCCCAGGGAGACCGGTGCCCAGAAAGACCTGTGCCCAGGGAGACCGGTGCCCAGGGGAGGCTGGTCCCCATGGATACCGGTGCCCAGGGAGACTGGTGCCCATGGAGACCAGTGCCCGGGGAGACCGGTGCCCATGGAGACCGGTGCCCATGGAGACCGGTGTCCATGGAGACCGATGCCCAGGGAGACCGGTGCCCATGGAGACCAGTGCCCATGGAGACTGGTGCCCGGGGAGACCAGTGCCCATGGAAACCGGTGCCCAGGAAGACCTGTGCCTGGGGAGGCTGGTGCCCATGGAGACTGGTGCCCAGGGAGACCTGTGCCCGGGGAGGCCGGTGCCCAGGGGAGGCCGGTGCCCAGGGAGACCTGTGCTCAGCAGCTGGACCAATGGCATCTTCCCAAGGTTTGGAACTAAGACAGATAACGGTGGCTTAAGAACTTCCCAGTTCTAAACAGTCAGGACTAAAGGTGCCTGTCAGGTTTAGAATGACAGCGCAGCTGCGAGCGGTAAAACCCCGGGAAGAAGGGTCTACACGTAACAGGAAGTGTTTCTCAAGGAAACCACAGGAGAGCTGACCTCCGCTTCAGGTGCGTCCGAACAGCCAGAGTCCCTGCTGCAGACAGTCACAGCTCTCCCCCAGCCAGTGGTTTCTTTACGTTTATTCCGGGAAGGGGACGGAGCCTCATCTGGCCTGTGCAATACCGGAAAACGCGGATTCAGCGGCAGCTTTAACCTCTTGCACGGTAAAGCGGAGCGGAATCCAGTTTGCTTCTAAAGTGCAGAGGGGAAGTGCAGGGACCAGCTCTGCCTGCAGCCAGCCACCTAGCCCGGCAGCCCCTGTGCCCTGGACTTCCCTGCACTGCTGGGCCACGTGGACGGGGGCTAGCGAGCTAGGCACTGTGTCCTTGCAGATTTTGCGTTCCAAAAGTTTTGAATCTGAAGGGCAAGGACTGTCCAGGCTCCCCACATTTCTCTGCCCCGCCCCCCTGCCTGTAACCAGCTGGGGCCCACAGGCAGGAGTCTGCAGCCTCGCTCCTCCCTGCCCTTCCAGCTCAGACCTATTATTGCCAATAACGCTGCAAAGGTGTTTTAGGCACTCTGATATTGACCTGTTAGATAGATACAGCGGGAAATGAACTATCATTAGCCCCTAGGGCTATGAACAATCTATCCTATAAATAGTCAATTACTTTTATATCTTAAATTAAGATACAACACTAGTTGTATTATCAATGATTTTCTAAAAAAACAAAACAGCAATGGCAGCTGCCTCCACTTTGCTCATAGGTGTACAAATCCGTACATTCTGAACAGCACAGCACACTCCTCTACCAAAGACACAACTTATTTACTTCTGCCTTAGCAGCAGGTCGCATATTGAGAGAGTAGGCCTCTGCAGCCCCAGCTTCACCCGGAAGGTCATCCAGAAGGCTGTCTGGACAGTCGCTCCGCAGTTTGGCCATTCGGTTTATTATAGATATACAGAGGCCTGGAGCATAAAAATTCATGCACTGGATGGGGGAGGGCCCCTCAGCCAAGCCTTCCCCCTCTCACAGCCTGGGAGCCCTCAGGGGCAGGAGATGATCCGGCAATCAAGGAAAGGCGATGTCCCGTCACACCTCTGCTGCTGCCACTGCCAGCAGCACAAGCTTCAGCCAGCCCTGGTTACCTGAGCCTTGGGTGAACCTGGATACCTGAGCCTCGGTGGCCCTGGGCGGTTGGGGGGCTAAGCAGACTGGGGAACTCTGGAAGCAGGCATGCAGAGCAGCCAGGCCTGCCTGGTAGTGGACCTGGTCTTGCCACACTCCTGTCACCCCCGTGGGGATGAGGGGACTGGACACCACCATCTTTCAGCTGTGGGTGTTGCCATCTTTGAGGGCATGGTAGTCAATTAGCATATTCCCTCCTTATTGGCTGTGGGTGCTGCCATCTTTGTAATGGTGTGAGGGTCAATTAGCATATCGCCTCTTTATTAGATAGGATTCCTAAATGATTTTAAACAAATTCATGTGTTTGAAATTATTATGAAGTGTCTCTAATGTCATGAGAACTATGGCAGGAAACTGATCACTAGTATAAGTGAGAGGTCACAGTTCTTTCCAGCGGAAGGGGATGGGCAGAGCAGGTGCTTTCCACTGCCATCTTCTCAAGCTCCCACACCCGGGCTGCAGGTCACATAGCCTTCTCAGGTGAGGGCACTGCCCTGGGAGGATCCGCCGTGAACACAAAGTACTCACTTTCCGAGAGCGCGGGTGGCAGCTGTCCCCTGCTCGGCCCATGGGTGTGCACAGCCGAAGGCCCCTGATCCACAGGCTCACAGCACAGCACGTGTCTCCATCGCACTGGAAGTCGTCCACGCAAGCCTGGGACGAGAGAAGCAAACATAAATACGGACAGCAGCGGACTCAGACGCAGGTGACCTAAAAATAGCCACAAGAAAGCGCTTTAAGCATCCAACTGCTCTGCGATAATAACCACATAAATAAAAAACTGCAGTCTTCATTTACTTGTCCGTTTTTGCCACAAAATACAATCAGAAGAGGTTTTCCTAGTTTTTTTTTTTTAATGGCCTAATAATGGCTCACACATTATGAAAATCTTAAACACAATATTAAAAAAACCACACCAGTTATCTCTTTCTAGTGCTTTACTGAATTTCCTTTTACTTGAAAAAAAATGTGTCTGTATTAGTCTTCTACTGCGTACAGCCACTAAGCATTCCGTAAGCCAAATCACGAGACTGTATGGTTATTAACTGAGTCCACTGGGCCAGTTTTTCCAAAGGGATTTAAATGGTCTCTAAGTCTGGCATGAGCTGCTCCAGACCCATCAAGGCACTGATGTAAATTTTAGAAGGACTCATTTTCCTTCTTAAATATTTGCATTTTGGTTCATGAGACTAGATGTTTCTCATACCACTGACTTGATTTTCACCATTTCCTCTTTAAAGAAAGAAATCTCACAGGGTGAGAATGGGCGGACCAAGGCTTTCCCGTATGTTACTCTCTTATCTCCAGGGAGTAACCTGCAGAAAGAAAAATGGGCTTAGGGTGTACACATGTGCACATCACAGCACCATGGAGCTTCTGTCGCAGCCGTCGGGTGAGGAAACGCAGACCTCAGCACCGGCTCCCAGTGCAAACACCGAATGCACACAATCAAAGACCCGACTGTGGGGATTCCTCTCTGTGGGGGAGAGAATGAACAATGAAGTCTAAATTCATGTGCTTAAAAATTGATCTGGAGTCTATTGTTCTTTCCTAGAATCAACCAAAAATAGGATGCTCTGTTTGGATGGTGTGTAGTAATCTACTTTTCCAACATTAGGTAAAAACATCCTGTCCTATAAAATATGTAAGAAATAAAAAAATTATAATTTAGGCACAAATTTAAATGGATGTTTATTGGAAACAACTAAAGCATTCCTTCAAAATTCTAGTTTTGGGGACAGCCATAACTTCTTAAAATATAAACACATGGGCACACATTTATTCACTACTTTTCATTGGTTTATTGGCTGCTAACATTTTTTTTCAACCTATTTAAAACAAGTATCTGGACTAACGCTACAATTTCTACCTTGGGGTAGCTGGGCATTTACAGGAAGATATTTAAACATTTCCCTCTTACAACTCTTATCTGTCTGCCGGCATCATGCCCATGTGGTCCTCCCAGCACAGCAAGGAGCTGCTCAGTGCTTGGCGTTTCCAACGTGGCTGCAACAAATCAAGGACTTCTAAGTGACTACACATATTCCCCCAAACAGAAAGTGTTCAAGGTGGAGGCTTCAGGCTGTGTTTTATTTCAACAGATAAAGACCCCGAATTCTGAAGCCACACCCACTCTTTTTATTAGACAATCAACATCCAGCCAAAAATCCCTTAAAATTCAATCACTTGGATGTTTAATATCCTATAGACAACATCTCCAGATAAGTTATTTAGTTTTTCATTTGAGTCCAGATGGTTCCTGTCATGGAGACATAACTGCGTTTCTTTATTGCCGTGCTGTTAACAGAATCCTCTTTTTGTAACTCAGAGCTAAGATTACAACAACAGCACACACACTATAGAACAAGCTTGTCCAAACCTCTCTATACATAAACATCCAACGTGACAGAGTTCATTTTGTAACAAGAAGCTTCGGTTCCTGGAAACATCTACAAAAAATTACATAGGTTTATATATTTTTAATTAGACAGCTGCTTCCTATGCCCTCCAGCCTTAAGCCATTGTAGATCTATTCATGCTGTGCTGTCCTGGGAATGGAACAAAAAGATACTTATATTGCAAAAGAATTTGGGGCTCAGAGGATTAGCAGAAATTTTAAACGAGCCAGTGGGAGAAGAGGGGGAAATCATGTTAATTCTCATGTATTAGAAAGACTTATAAAAACATTTTTCAATCACACCAGCTGGTTACTGACAAAGCCATTCAAATACATTTTGTAAAAAAATATCCAAATGGCCGAAACCGGTTCGGTTAAATGGATAGAGCGTCGGCTTAGGGACTGGAAGGTCCCGGGTTCGATTCCGGTCAAGGGCATGTACCTTGGTTGTGGGCATATCCCCAGTAGGAGGTGTGCAAGAGACAGCTGATTGATGACTCTCATTGATGTTTCTAACTCTCTATCTCTCGCCTTTCCTCTCTGTACAAAATCAATAAAATATATTTTTTTAAAAATCTCCAAATGACTCCAATAAATATCCCAATTCGTACACTTGCGTATCTTCTGGACAGGAGCAAACACTGTATGTTCCAGGGCTCACAATGTGCTCTGAGCCTAGGAATCGGCATGCAGACAACAGAGCTTTATTTTCTCTAGACAATGACATTTCCCTCAAACTTAAATGTTATTTCATTTCTTTTCAAAAGCAGAAGTTTTATCTGAGTCCTAGAGAGCGCACTTAGACCCGTGGAGAAGGTAAGGGAGGTGCAGAATGGCAGCCTGAGAGGGAGGGAGTGGGCAGTGGGCAGCCGGCAGGGGCAGCGGCGGCTTTGCTGTGAAGTGGACCGGCCTGCGGTTCTGGGCAGAAATTCCGCTCTGACCCCAGGAGCACCCCTGCGGGACAGGGAGCACTCCCGCTCCCCCGCGCAGGTGTCCTCCCTGGGAGAGCGCTCCCATCGCCCTTTCCCATCATGCAGGAGGGGGGCTGTGGTTCATCAGGAACTGGAAACGGAAAACTCTCATAGGCAGACTCTCAAGACGCCGGGGACCCCCCATTCCCAACACACACACACACACACACACACACACACACACACACACACACACACACACACCAAACAGAAAACCCTGAGATCCAGATAGAAGCACCCACATTGCTTTCAAAGCGCACACGTGGCCTCGGACCAAGGTCTTTCCTGGCGATCCTGTGGGGGGATCCTGTGGGGGCGCGTGGGGAGCAGAGCCCCGCGGAGGACGGGGCGGAGCGTGATGCCCAGGCCCCTGCGTTCCAGGAAGGGCTCCACCGGCTGCACGTCCCGCGGGCAGGTCCGGGACGGCGCTGGGGAGACTGAAGAGCATCCTCCAGGGGAACAGAGAGACCGAACCCGGAGAGGCCCGGGGAGAGGGCGCGGGCGGGAAGGGGGTGCTGGCGCTGGGAGCCGCACTTGGGCCACTTTTCTCCCTGGCGCCCGTGCCCCGCCGCCCAGCACTCCCCCCAGTGCGCCCCGGGCGCCGGCGGTCCCGGCGGGACACCCTCCCCGCGCCCTCGCCGCCCTAGCGTCGCCTTCCCCACCCCGGGAGCCAGCAGGTGCGGCCGCTTACCCCGGTGATGACGGCGGCCCCGGCGCGGGGGGCGAGCAGCGGCCACAGCAGCAGCAGCAGCAGCAGCACCGGGGCGGGGCGCGGGGCCCGCATGGCGCCCTCGGGCTGGGGCGCGGGGCTGGGGCTCGGGGCGCGGAGCGGGGCGCGGGCGGCGCTCTCCGGTGCGGAGCTGCGGCTGGCGGCTCGCGGCCTCGGGCGGATATAAAGGGAGCCGGGCTGTGAGTCAGCGGGCGCCGCGGGCACACCCCGCCCCCCTCACGCCCCCCGCGCCCCGCCCGGGCGCCACGCAGGCACCCGGAGCCCCGCGCCCGCGGCCGTGCGGGGGCCGAGCCTCCCGCGCTGCTGCCCTCGTTTCCAGGCGACACGTGCCCCGCGGACTGACCGCTGCGCCATTTGCTCTCCAGATGCGAGGGCGCCCACTGCGCGCCGCGGGGGACACATGTGTGTGTGGTGTGTGTGTGTGTGTGTGTGTGTGTGTGTGTGTGTGTGTGAGTGTGTGTGTGTGTGTGTGTGAGTGTTTGTGAGTGTGTGTGAGTGTGTGAGAGAGGGGGGGGGGCACGTGCCGCTGGTCCGCTCGGCGCCCGCCCCGGTGCTGACCCGGGTCCACCCTCCCGAGAGGCGGCCGCACCCACGCGGGGACCTGGAGGGGGCGGTGGGAGAACAAAGGGGAGCAAAGGCAGCCGCCCGCAGCCCGTGGCGGGAGTGCGGGGTCCTGTCCCGCAGACGCCTCCCGTGCGCCCCGCTGCCACCTGCTCCCCTCCGGTCCCAGGAGCGGGCCCTCCGAGGCGCACAGCTCGCCCGCCGCTCTGGAAGCCGCGGCGGGGAGACGGGCGCCGGCGTCCGGCCCAGCCGCTCGCACCCCGGCCCTTCCACCCGGCACGCCGCCTCGGGCTGGGGGAGGCCCTGCCGCCTTCCCGCGGGCGAGTCGCTCTCGGGACTTGCCCTCCGTCTCGGTCTCGCGCTGAGAACCGCAGCTCGACCTCCCTCCGGGAGCGGGGCGGCGGGGGTCCGGGGCGGCGGGGTGCCGGGGGCGGCGGGGGGGCCGGGGCGGCGGGAGGCCCGGGGCGGCGGGAGGCCCGGGGCGGCGGGAGGCCCGGGGCGGCGGGAGGGTCAGGGCTCCCGCGCCACGCTCAGCGCCGCGATTCTGGGACGCGGACTCTCCCTAAGGCGCTGGGAGCGCGGGCTCCCGGCCCCAGGACCGCGTTTGAGAAGCAGATGCATCTGTAATAACAACAGCGAGGGAGGGAGCGGGCAGTCCGGCCAGACTGCGGGCTCCCCGTGCCAAGGCAGTTAGACCAAATGTGGAAAGAAGGGAAAAAGCGGGCGATTTTCCGAATGTTAAACAGCTGAATATTTGGAAGACCAAATCTTTGCCTGATTTTAACTTTCCACCCGTTTTCATGTTTCAGAATGAAACAATGAATACAAACATCAAAAGTATCAAACTTTAAAAAAAAATGTTAAAATCGGGCTCAGTAAAAATAAGTGGAAACAGTAGCAAGTGACAGAATGGTGGAAAGTTTCCTTTTCCAGTCTCCATGCCAACACTAGCCTGGGAATGCCGCTGGGTAAATGGGAAAACCAGTCAGCATGGATTTTAACATTCCTACAACTCTTTTTTTTTTTTTTTTAAATGCTCTCTTTCATATTTGCTACTATTGAATGCCAGCTTGGGTAGTGCCTGCTTCTCAAGCACAGAAAACAGGAAACATCTACACAGCTGTGCTTCCTACGTGGCTGTTTGGAAAACAATCCTCAGAGGCTGTTTTGAAACAAGGTTAGAAACACTTAAAAATAGGGTTGGTTTGGTGTCATATTTCTTTTGATTGTGCTGTTTCTGTTTGTTGGTCTAATGCTCTGGAGGAGAAATGAAGGCCCCGGCATGACAAATCTTTGCATGTTAAAAAACAGCCTGAAAGTTAGCTCCATGTTATAAATGGAAAATGAAAGGTTGAATTTAGGTTGATTCATAAATAAGTGAGGTAGGAGGCCAGCCTCCCGTGCTGGAATAGAGATGGAAGAGCAGCCTGCCCATCCTGCTCTGTCTCCGTGCCGCCTGTCATCTGCCCAGGAGCCTCTGCCCGAGGCCTGCTGAGGCACCCTTCTGGAATGTGGCCCCTGCACACCCTCAGTCTGTGGCCGGGAGTTAGACTGCATTTGGCAGCAGACCGTCAGGGCCTGGCTGAATCCACGGGCAGCTCAGGGAGTCCACAGGACCCCACATTTGCGAATCTGACTGAGCTGGTGGGAAGCCTGAGTGGCCATTGGACAAGTTACTTACTAGTAAGCTTTTAAACCTCTATTTCCTCGCCTATAAAATGGACAGAAGATACTGACCTCGTGGGTTCAGCCTCCTTGGGTTTAAAGAGCGTAGTGCCTGTGATGTCAGCACAGTGCCTGAGGTGGACGAGCCTTGTTAGAGTGACACCTACATTTCATTCCATACCCACAGCGGTGTTTGCCTTCCCAGCAGATTAGATCACACCCCCTTGGGATGCTGTGTCTGATTTCCCGCACACCTGCGGGCACAGAGCAAAGGCTAGGCATGTTCCAGGCCTCTCCCTGTGTGATGATCAGCAGGAATATGCCCTTCAGAGGATAGTACAGAGGAGTTCACAGACAAGTGATGAACAGTGTAGAGGCATTTAACTGATATGAACTGGTTAAATGCAGTCACCAAAAAGCTGAGGTATAGGTCCTTTCCCTTGCGCAGGTGATTCAGCCACCATTCTGCTCCATGGACAGTGACTGAAATGAGGAACATGGGGAGACACACATGTCTTGTTGCCATGGCAATGAGACTGTCTGGGCCCAAGGCTGGGGAAGGGTCCATTGCAATATGTGCTTCATGATGCCAGTGGAGGGTTGTGCAATGGGTCACATTCCATCCGCCCAAAAGCTATTTTCAAGTCCCAATCCCAAGTACGGTATCCTACCTAATAAAAGAGTAATATGCAGGAGAATCCAAGATGGCTGCTCGGGTAGGCACCTAGCCGCAGCCGCATGCAACAATTTCAATAAAATACAACTAAAATATAAAACGGACATTACCCAGAACTACAGGAAAGTCGACTGAATGGAAATTCTACAACAAGAAGCAAGGAGGAAACCAGAAGGAAGAGCAGAGGAGCTGGAAAAGCCCAAGGTACGGAGACACGGTGCGCGGAGAGGCCAGAGAGGAGGGAGGCGGAGTGCCTGGCGGGCGTTCCCTAGCGGGAAGGAGATAAAAGCTCCAACTGTGCTGGGCCCTGACTACTCTGAACCCCAGCTCTAGGCCAGACCCCGGGGACCCAGGCTCAGCCATAGGGAGCCGGGCTGTAAGGCGGAACCCTGGGGAAGAGGCGAAAGGAGGTCCCGGCGGTGCCTCGCAGAGAAGGGACGGCCGGCTGTGCTGCGGGATTGCCTGGCGGGAAGGAGACAGGGGCGCCAGACTGCTCTGAACGCCACCTCCAACTCCACTTCCAACTGAACTGAACCCCAGTTCCGGGCTCAGTGGGGGAGAGCATTGACTGTTTGGCAGCAGGCGAAAATCGAGGGCGCCTTTCTCTCAGAGGTGCTTGCAAGGAGCACTGAAGGACCCTGAGTCTCAGGAGTCGCATAGGGCGGGGCTGACGGAAGCCAAAGCTGTAAGCTCCACCCTGAAACCCCGCCCCATCAGGAAAGCTGCCTGCGAAAATGCCTAAACCAAATAGATCACAAACGAAAGAAATGGAGGACAAAAAGCGACTAGATATAGAGTTCAAAACCACACTTATAAGGTTTTTCAAGAGTTTCCTAGAAAAGGCCAATAAAATAAATGAGACTTATGAGGATATGAAAAGGGATCAACAAGAAATAAAGAATACATTGTCTGAAATAAAAAAATATTATACAGAGTCCTAAAAACAGAATAGAAGATTGCAAGAATCAAGTCAAAGATTTGGAACATAAAGAGCCAGAAGACACTCCTCTGCAGAAGCTAGAAGGCAAGAGAATCCAGAAAATTGAAGATGATGTAAGAAACCTCTGGGACAACTTCAAACCATCCAACATCAGAATTATGGGGGTCCCAGAAGATGAGCGAGAGCAAGATATCGAAAACATACTGAAAGTAATAGTGACAGAAACTTCCCCCACCTGGTGAAAGAATTGGACTTACAAGTCCAGGAAGCACACAGAACTCCAAATAAAAGGAATCCAAAGAGGACCACACCAAGACAAATCATAATTAAGATTCCAAGAGCAAAAGACAAACAGAGAATATTAAAAGCAGCAAGAGCTAAGCAGGTAGTCACCTATAAAGGAGCACCTATACGATTGTCAGCTGATTTCTCAACAGAAACCATGCAGGCCAGATGGGAATGGCAAGAAATATTCAAGGTGATGAATAGTAAGAACCTACAGCCAAAGATAATCTATCCAGCAAAGCTATCACTCAGATTCGAAGGTCAGATAAAGAGCTTCACTAATAAAAAAAAAGCTAAAGGAGTTCATCACCACCAAACCAGAATTATATGAATTGCTGAAGGGGGTTCTTTCAGAAGAGAAAGTAAATAAAGATAAAAATTATGAACAACAAATACGTAACTATCAACAAGTGAATCTAAAAACCAAGGAAATTAAAAAAAAAATCTGATGAACAATATTAACTGTTGAATATAATAGAATCAGAGGTATGGAAGGGGAGTGAACTGATGCTTCTTGGGGAAAAGGGGAGAGGGGGATGTGGGAAGAGACTGAACATAAACTGTACACCTATGGATGAGGACAATGGGGGGTGGGGAATGGGCAGAGGATGGGGTGGGAAGGGGGGAGGAAGGAACATTTGTAATAATATGAACAATAAAAATTTATTTAAAAACTCAAAAAAAAGAGTAATATGCAAATTAACAATCACTCCATTACACCCACAAGTCACACCCACCAGGCACACCACCAGCCAATCAGAGCGAGTATGCAAATTAACCCCAACCAAGATGGCTGCAGTCACAGAGAGCAGTTGGGAGGTTTGGGTTTCCCCATCAATAGAGGAAGCCAAGCTTTCCACACACCCTGGCTTGCCTAGGCCTCCACTCAAGGATACAAACTTTCAATTATAGAAGGTAAACAAATCC